TCTACCTTAAGCTCCTCACATGCTACAGTCTACCTTAAGCTCCTCCCCGTACAGTCTACCTTAAGCTCCTCACGTACTACAGTCTACCTTAAGCTCCTCACGTACTACAGTCTACCTTAAGCTCCTCTACATGCTACAGAACCCTACCTTAACTCCTCATGTACTAGTCTACCTTAAGCTCCTCATGTACTACAGTCTACCTTAAGCTCCTCATGTACTACAGTCTACCTTAAGCTCCTCACATTTTCTGAGTCTACCTTAAGCTCCTCATGTACTACAGTCTACCTTAAGCTCCTCATGTACTACAGTCTACCTTAAGCTCCTCCTGTACACAGTCTGTAAGCTCCTCTTGGCCTCTACCTACAGTCTACCTTAAGCTCCTCCTGTACTACAGTCTACCTTAAGCTGGTTGTTTTTGCCACCTCCTGAGGGTGCAAGAACCTTACAACACATGTAATCAATTCACTGTCCTCAGTCTTTGAGCTATTGCTGGCATGTATTTTTACTTCTGCATGTTATATATTTCAAATACATCATAATTATTTTTAACAGTTATTTGTTTATATTTTTCAGATATATTTATCCAATCCAGTGCTCTTTATTTCTCTTTCTTGCAGTTTTATGCTTTCATCTGGGATAACTTTCTTTCAGCCTGAAGAGTCTATTTTAAAATTTTTTCTAGAAAAAATCTGCTGACCATGACTATTTTCAACTTTTTTTGTCTAAAACATTTCCATTTTAAATTTATTTATGAAGAATATTTTATCTGAGTATAAAATGTCAGGTTGGCTGCTTTTTCTCTTTCAGGTTTCAGAGATGCCATTCGATTTTCTCCTGGCACTGGTAATTTCTGATAAAAAGTCAGCTGTTAAGTTTTATTGTTGGTCCTATAAAGGTTATGTGTCTCATTTCTCTGACTATATTTAGGGTCATCTCCTTATCTTTGGTTTTCAGCAGTCTGACTGTGCTGTGCTTCAGTGAGGTTTTCTTTTACTCTACCTAAGATTCACCAGTCTTCAGTCTGTGAGTTGATAGCATTCAACAAAAGAACAGAACAGCAGCTACCATTGAAATCTCCACCTGATTAGACTTAGATAATCCACACTGTCATTCTCTAATATCCATCTGATGTTTACACAAGCCAAACAAACAAGTTAAGTGGGAGAGGTAGTAGAACGCAACACCCCTATATCTTCCCAATTTTTGGTGGTGGCACTAAACCACTAATATTCCCCTTGAGGCATGGTCTTGCTTTTGGTTTATTCTTTTCGAATAGAGGACTAGGTTCATAGGTTTATATCATGAGAGCCCCTCATTCTATGGGTCAGTGGAACAATTGAGGATCTTGTCAGATAACAAGTATGTCTATTACAACTCACATTCAGGATCCGGAGAATTAACAGGATGGCTCATGGACTTACTGGACCCATTGAGAAATGATGTCAACTGATGTTCACAAGCCCTTATCAGGCTCGAAGGACCAGAGTGTCTTTATGGTTGCCAGGAACTACTACATGTTAGCTCAGTGGCAGCGCCCCCAAATCCCTGAAGGGCCTGGATATTTCCTTTCCCTGGGTGAACAGTCATTCTGCCAAATGACCACATAGCTGCTTCAGGAGGGCTGGAAGGAGAACAGACAGCATGAACTTGGTGGGTTATCCTCAACTGTACCCAGACTCTCCTTCATTCACATGACTCTGTGTCTATGAGCTGACTGAGGGTTGGGATTTGGCAAGGGCTGTGAATCTCCATTGAGGTGGTTTAAGTCAAACTCTGGTTTACTCAGAACTAGAATTGTACTCATCGAAAAGGACACAGTAAACTGCTTACCTATTTCAGTCCTTGGGACTTCATAACTGATTCGCCTCTGTCGAAGATTCCTATAGGCCAAACTATGCAGATTTCTACTCTAGCTCTTTTGTGCAAGATTTCACCTCCGAAGTAGACTGGCCTTCTTAATGACTTGAACCGCAATCTCTTAAATCAAAATCTTTCCTTCAAAAGCCACTTTAGTCCAGTTGACTACAAAAGATGACTTAACTGTTTGGTCACCATGTGCCATGGACCACTGTCCCACAGTCAGCACTACTTAGATACTTACTGTTTTCAAATCCACTTCAGACACTAGTCCCAGATTTCTATTTCTTTAAGGATCTTTTGGCATCAATTCTGTATCAATAATACTTCTTGGTTGAAGACAACAGAATCCATAGTAACTAGTCTAGGCAGGCATGTCAGATGATCCTAGATGACCCTTATGCTCAAGTATTTGCCAGAAGGACACAGAGGACTCAGAAAAGCTGTTATACTCACAGTTATAGTTTATTACAGCAAATGGACACAGATTAAAATCAGCAAAGGGAAAAGGTACATGAGATGAAATCCAGGAGAAACTAGGTCCAAGCTTCCAGGTATCTTCTCCACTGGAGTCACGTGGAGATACACTTAATCATCTCTGCAATACTGTGTAACACATATGAAGTAGCTTCCTGTTTGGCAATACTTCATAAGTTTTGCCATTATTTGAAGATAATCCTCACCTTGTGTCCAGGGTTTTCACAGGTATTAGTGGTCAGTCACATAGGCATATAGTACCCGTGTGACTTCTATTCCAGCCACCACCGCAAACCTCTCCTCTCCCTGCTGGCTCCTAAGCCAAAAACAGGCATTTACCATAAATCACTTTGTTAGGATGAACTTATCTGGTCAAACTGATACAGCATGACGCACAGCCTCAGGTATATATAACTCTGTTATCAGGCAGAATATTTCAGGGTCTCAGAGGTTAGTCAGGGACTAGTCAAGGACCAATCCTGAAGGCAGGCCTTTTTTTTTTTTTTTTTTTTTGGACAGAGTCTTGCTCTGTCGCCCAGGCTGGAGTGCAGCGGTGCGATCTCGGTCCACTGCAAGCTCTGCCTCCCGGGTTCATGCCATTCTCCTGCCTCAGCCTCCCGAGTAGCTGGGACTACAGGCGCCCGCCACCACACCTGGAAATATTTTGTATTTTTAGTAGAGATGGGGTTTCACCGTGTTAGCCAGGATGGTCTTGATCTCCTGACCTCGTGATCCGCCCGCCTCGGCCTCCCAAAGTGCTGGGATTACAGGCGTGAGCCAAGGCAGGCCTTTTTTTGGAACCTACAGGGTTTGACCAATCCAGGACTGCTGAGTTAACCCTTTCCTGTGCAGCAAGAAAAGATTTATTTAAAAAAAAATGGAAATATCACAGTTTAATCACAAGGGATGAAAAGACAGCATTTAGGTTTTATTTCTGAGAACGTTTCCTAGAACCATATCATAAAACTGGCCTGCTAAGGAAGACGTTGTCTCTGATAACCCAGAACAAGGTTAAATTGCTGTGGTTTACGGTTTTATATATGAGAATGCCCTGGTTCTTATGGAAAACATATGAAAAACGGGTCCATAGCTGGAGACAACAGATGAATGCATAGATAGAACAAATATGGCCAGATATAAACTACCAGGACATCTAGCTAAAGAAAATATGGGTATTGATTATACTATTCTCTAAACTTTTCTTTAGGTTTAAAAAAAACCAAGAAATACGGAAGTACAAACAACTATGGCATGTTTCATATGAGAAGTATTTGACATAAAAGAGAAATTGGGAGGCTGGGTGTGGGGCTCATGCCTGTAATCTTAGCACTTTAGGAGGCTGAAGTGAGAGAATCGCTTGAGCCCAGGAGTTCAAGACCAGTCTGGGTAACATAGTGAAACCTAATCTCTACTTAAATATATATATAAAATAAATGAGAAAAAAAAAAAAGAGAAATAGGAGAAAAGCTACTGAGAGCTAGATAGTAGGTTTAGTAGGTTTGAAAGGCCTGAAGAAGTTCAGACAAAAGGACTTCTAGATGTGAGGAAATTAAAATCAGGTAATAAAATATAATACTGTTGACACTTGGCACCCATAGTGAGAAATACCACAGAAACATGGAAAAAAAGGAAAATATGATTGCCTTTGGGTGTCAACCTTTTGGCTTATTCACAAATGGACCAAAGCAGAGTTTGTTGTAAGTCACTTAAAAAAAGAAATGGCTTCCAGGCCTGCAAGATATAATGGAAGCCTGACATTTCTAAAGAAAAGGGCTAGTCATCAATGAAAACACTGGATAGACTCAGATGAGGAAATGCTGGCTGTAACTTCCTAGGGGACATTTGCCCAAAAGCTTCAAATACTCTCATTCCCCTGTCAATGATACTTCACAGAAGTTGAATGTGTCAGGTACCAACTGTCCAGTTCCTTCAATTCCTGTTCAGTCACTTTCCTTTGTCTAGTTTTCAAGCTTCCTAAGAACCTTCTGTTATGTGCGGACCCTGTGTGTCCTCTTACAGGGAAAAAATGCTCTGGTCACATGCATACCAGTTCTTTCCAGCATTCCAGTCCCTGTGATGGGTACTTTTCAATTTAAATCAATAAAGCGGCATTCTGATTTTATAATTCCATCTCGAGTTTGTTAAAGGTGAGTTTGATTGGTGGGCTGTCTTAAATCGGCTTCTAAGCCTGCAATCATGAGGGCCAGACCTGAACTGTAGTCAGCTCACCAAGTTTGGTTCGTTTGTTCATTTGTTTGTGTGGCAAACGCGATTGGTGCCCTGGATCTTCCCACTGTATTGTACGCCAGTCCTAGTGTCAATTGCCAGCACCTGCATTTCTTGCTTAGGGCTCTCTCTGACCAGCTGGAGTTGCTGTGTCCCAACCACAGCAAGCCAGCCAGATGACGATAACAACATTATACACTCACAGGATAATTGTGAAGTGTGTGTTCTACACTGACTCCCAGAGTTCAACAGAAGTGAACTCCGGTTGCCCAAAGTGGACACTTGATTGATAATACACCCTTTTTTTTGCTTCCTCCCTTCCCTAACTCACTTACTTCCTTACCAGTGTTTCTAGGGATCACCTCCCAAATAAATTACTTGCACTCAAATCATTGCCTCGAGATCTGTTTCCGGGAGAAACACAAACTAAGACAACTTCGTCCATTCATTTATCATTTATTGAGCTTAATCAATTATTAGTAAGTCCTTAAGGCATAAAATAAGTCCTTAGCAACATGTTATCTCTTTTCTCATCACAATATTATCCCCTTTACAAATGAAGAAATCGAGGTTGAAATAAATTAAGTAGCTGGCTCAGTATCACATAATTAGGACAGAGTGCTAGAAAGGATTGATGCAGATGAAGATGGCTGGGACTCCCCGATGACCAGTCTTGAATGGAACAGTATAAAAAAAGAGTTTTCTGCTGGGGTAATAATTTGAGAATACTATAAGATTGCTATGAAGCAATGAAAAAAGGGATTACTGAATGACTGAGGAAACATTTCAATGAAATATAGTTTTGAAATTTTTGTTTTCTAGGAAAGCAACATGCTGCAATAAGAGCGCACACAAAAACACGCACACACATACACCTGTGGGTTTAAATCCTAGCACTACTAGTTTTTAGGTGTAAGACATGGGCAAGTTGCTTACTTTCTCTAAGCTCAATTTTCTAATCCATAAAGTGTATAATATCCAAGATTGTTGTATGAATTAATGAGATTTATTTAAACAACTGGCACCTAATGAGTGCACAAATTTAATTTGCAGAAATGTACTGTCCTTTCAGGAACTTTGTGGTAAGTACTGAAATATGGATGCAATCAGTACTATGCTTACCAGTAACCTAAAAAAAGAAGCAATATAAAATATTTATGTCATAAATGATATCTATATTACTATCTTTAAAAATATTGGTCTTTCCGTATGTAGTATGCTAATTTAATGTTACAAAATAAAAGTAAAACCAACAATTTTAATAAGTTAAGCTTTAAGTACAAAATTTTGTTGGAAGCAATGCCAAAGAGTCCACATAGTAACATTTATCATTTTGATAACAAAATTTTGTGTTCTGCATGTGGGCCTCAAGCAGTACTAAAACAAAATAGTTTATCAATTATAAATGATACTCACGATTCTTCCCTAATCAGATGTTTTTTTGAGTTGAGAGATTCTGAACAAAAACAGTAAGTGTAGAATGTCTGTACCATCTTTAATACTAAGATTTAATTTAATCAATGCATTTCCTTAGATTTAAAAATCATTTTGTTAGAGTCCATGTTCGAATCAGTATATGTATTTAAAATGGAATTAGAGATATGGATTATAGTGTGAATGACTTCAAATAACTCGAATGATGCACATGTCAGAAGGAAACATTTCTAAGGGCTGCTTCATTGATTCAAGTGGAACTGTTTTATTCAGAACAGCTCAGATTAGCAGCAGCAGCAGCTGGTGTTCAATGAAATGCTTCCCTTTTCCACCTACTCTCCAGCTGGGTTAAGACAGGCACAAAAAGATTGGGATGACCAAGGTCAAAGCATGATTTGATAGACTTCCAGGTTTTTGCTCCAGTAACTTCTTGTGTAGTCTTGCCTATAGAGGCAATTAGTGAAATTGGTGGTTGAAAAAGTCATAGCTTTAGAAGGACTTCATAGATCATCTTGTTCAATATCTTAATTTTATACTTCATATACCAAGGTTCTAATTAAAATACTTTATTGTTGTGTATTTATTGGAAGTGACAAGAAGTTAAGATTTCTTACATTTATTTCATTTGCCTGATTTTTCTGTTCCCACTGAATTGTATACGCAGGCACCAATGCACCTTGTATCTCTACTTGACATAGCTGAAAAATGAAACATTCAAAGATACACTACTTTATTACATGTTAGCTCAGTAAAGGGGTCCTCTATTAGACATGCTGGTCTCAGTTCTTAACTTTTACGCTCATAAAGCCTGATTCACTCATTCAAACCTTTTTTGAGGAGTTACCAGGTTTTAGCCGTTGCGATAGATACTGAGGACACAAGAAGTCAAGGGTGCTCTCCTCTCTCAAGGAGCTTAAGGGAAGACAGAAGTGCTAAGCACATACATCGAGTGTGTAGAAGGCACACAGAGGCATAAGCAATGACCCTGCTTGAGAAGATCTGAAAGGCTTCTCAGAGGAGGAGCTTGAACTTATCTAAAAGGTAGAATAAACTGCATGCAAAAGAGCTCCGAATGACTCTCAAGTGTAAGTCATACTGCCTAAGCAATATATTCATGTGGGAAGTGGGAGATGGGGCTGGAATGGAGGCAGGGACCACATTCAATGGGCCCTGTTTTTGGAGTTTAGACATTATTCAGAAGGCCATGGTGAGCCACTGATAGAGTAAAGAAAGGCAGCAAGGTGACAATACATGTTTCTTAAGAAAACATACTGTGATGAGGACACTTGGCAGGAAAGTAGTAGAATATGAACCAGCACTCTATGAATGTTGGGGTTAAAATAGTGAATTAGGTAATATGATCTTACCCTTCTGGAACTTACAGCCTAGTGCAGAAACACTACGGGTCTAAACACTAAGGGTCTAAATTAAGGTAGTAGCAGCGGAAATAGAAGGAAATGGACGTTATGATAATGATGATGATAACATTACCACCATTTACTGAACACTTCCCATGTGTCAGGCACTAAACACTTCATATGCACTATCTTTGTCCATTCTCCACACAGTAGCTAGAGTTTTTCTATAGCTCTTATCATAACTCTCTCAAACCCTTCCAGAGGCTTCCCACCTCCTTCAGCACAAATACCTAAGTTCTTAGGAAAAGCTACGAAGTCCTCCAGGCTGTGACCCACTGTGACCTCTCTGAGCTCACCTTCAACTCCTCTTTCTCTCTCTAGCCACAGTGCCTTGCTAGCTGTTCCTAGATGACTCTAGGCACCTTTCTGCTTCAGGGCCCTCTCTGTCTAGAAGGTTCTTCCCTTTATATTCCCACAGTTCATTCCTCACTTCTGTCAAGCCTCTGATTAAATGAATTCTTTTCAATAAGACCTTCTCTGGCCACTCGGCATGACAGAACTCCTGTAGCATTCCCTATTCCCTTTGCCTTGCTTTATATTTCTCCTTAACGTATCATATTCTGACATAACACATATGTGTTGGTTTTCTTCCTCCATGGATCACAAACTCCATGAGGGTAGACTGTTTTTGTTCATTGCTGTATTCTCAGCACTGAGAACAGAGCCGGCACATATCCATTCAATAAATACGAATGGATGAATGAAGGATTATAATGGTCCTATGAGGATGGTACTATTATTTTTTCCCACTTTCCCAAAGAAGAAACAGATATCAATTGAGGTACTCAAGGTTGGATTTCTGGTAACTAGAAGAACTGGGATTTGCATGGCGGGGGTGGGGGCCGGGGGTAGCCTGCCTTTGTTGAGTTGTACTATGTGCCCAGCATTATTGTAACAGCTTTATGTATATTAACACTTAATCCCTACAACTCCATTTTATAGATGAGGAAACTAAATCAGAAAGGGGTTTACAATCTTGCCTGGAATCTCTGCACTTGTAAATTGGGAGCCTGTGCTCTCAGCCACTTTGCTTCACTAATTCTAAGGCCTATTCTTTGGAGAGATACAACTTTGCCTCTTAATTGCCAGGAGAGTGAGGGAGAGGAAGAAATCTAGGATTACTACCATTATTATTATTGGGGACCGCCATAGATGGTAGAGTCACCAATCAAGTCAAAGAATGCAACATGAGTTGGTTTCATTCTTCTCTAACTCTAGACTTCCACATGCAACTGCCTCCTGATATCTTTGCTTGGATACTGAGACACAAGGTCAGCTGCAGTTAAAGGGACTTAGAATAACCATGGGAGATCACAGAAGTTAGTTGTCTTACACCAGAGTTGACCTGGTTCACAGGACTTGCTCAATGAAGTCCTCAGGGCCCCACCTTGTTGCTCTGCAATCCCTAGAATGTTTCCCAGTGTCTTAGTCTGTTTATGCTGCTATAACAAAATACCTGAGACTGGAAAATTTGTAAAAAACAGAAACATACTTTTTCACAGTTCTAAAGGCTGGGAAGTACAAGATCAAGACCCCCAGCAGTTTCAGTGTCTGGTGAGAGCTGCTGTTTCCAAGGTGGGACCTTATTGCTATATCCTCTGGAGGGGATGAATGCTGTGTCCTCGTGTGGCTAAAGGGATGGAAGGGCAAAAGAAGGTCTAAGCTAGTTCCCTCCAGTCCTTTCACAAGGGTACTTAATCCATCCATGAGGCAGGGCCCTCATGATTTAATCAGCTGCTAATATCATCACAATGGGGATTAAGTTTCAACATGAATTTTGAAGGGGACACCATCATTCAAACCACAGCATCTTCCAACATAGTTTACTACCCCAACTATTTAATACATACATTCATCAGAAAAGGACAAAAGAAAGGGCAAGTGACACCCAATTCCTTTTAGAAAATGATCTGGAAGTTGCATACATCATTTCTTCTCACATCCTACTGGCCAGAACTTAAGAGATATGGCCACACTTAGGGTGTATTATAGGCAACTATGTGTCTGGCTAGATGTTCTATTATCATGAATGAAGAGGAGAATACATAAGAGTCAGCTAGCAAGCAGTTTGTACAACAGATATCCAACAGGTATCTCAAATTTAACATTACCAAAACTAAATTCCTGCTTGTTCTCCCAAAACCTGCTCCTTTGCACTGTTATCACAACTCAGTCCATGGTGGAAAACAGAACAAACTCAGGGGTTTAATGTTACACATGTTGAGCTTGAGGTGCCTGTAGAACACCCAGTACAGGTTTCCAATAAGGAGTTGAAGATTCTGTGTCTGGTGCTTCTGACTGAGGTCTGTGTTCAAGATTCAGGCTTGATTCCTGACCAAAATAAGTGACAGAAGAGTATATGTAAAAGGTACTGTTCAAAGATTATAACATGGTAGCAAAGAGAACCAAGGATGGGGAGGGAAGATTCTGTACAGGAGACCTGAGAAAGCGCGGCCGAAGACACGGCAGAAGAGCAGAGAATGTAAGGTGACAGAACCAAAGGAGCAGTTTCCAGGAGGCAGTGGTTAGCAGTGTGGAAGGCTGCGGAGAGGTCAGATGTTGTGAAAATTGAGAAGCAACCTTTCAATTTGGCCATTAGGCCATAGTGAAATTGACACAAGCAATGTATACAGTAAAATGGAGGGAGCTGCTAAATTTCTGTAGCTGAAGAGGAATTTGGAAGGTAATAGCAATCCAAGTATAGACAGTTTTTCTAAATAGAAGGAACAAAGTAGAGGGAGAATTTATGAACAGGAGAGGGAATGATTAAGGGAGTAAGAGTCTTGAGTCAATTTCCCTTCCCTCAAGAAATAAAAATTACCTGTAGAAAGGACAGAAGGATGGCTTCTACCTTAAGACTCGAGGTCAGAAAGAATGCAAATTTAGACAGGTCTGTAGGGATAAGGGTGGGGGGGTATGTAGGAGTTCATGCCTGCTGTGTACAATACTAAACAATGATACACACACCACAACCACCACCACCACCACCACCACCACCACCACTACTAAGCACTAACATTTATTGAGCACTTTATATGCCAGAAGAGTGTTCTTCATGGAGCTAAGCTTGCTTAACAGTATTTCTTAAATAATGGAAGCTATTCATATATTGAAAGCTTAGCGTTTTTCAAAGGTTGAGTGTGTAACATTCAGATGTGGCCTAAAAATAGCAACAATGACTTCTATCCCAGCATATCTGAATTTTGTCTCTTCCACGCTCTTGACTTACTTCTGATCCTGGGGCATGCTGAGCAGTAAAAAAAGTTGTTTTTGCATTTTGATTCATCTGCTATGACTGGCATCAATAAGAAATCTTCAGCAATAAAACAGCTCTGTCAAAAAACAACTTCACCAGCAATTCAGGGCAAAATGTTTCCTTTGAAAAAAAGTTTGTTGGCCCGATGCAGTGACTCACGCCTATAATCCCAGCACTTTGGGAGGCTGAGGCAGGCGGATCACGAGGTCCGGAGATCGAGACCATTCTGGCTAACACGGTGAAACCCCACCTTTACTAAAAATACAAAAAATTAGCCTGGCCTGGTGGTAGGTGCTTGTAGTCCCAGCTACTAGGGAGGCTGAGGAAGGAGAATGGCATGAACCCGGGAGGCGGAGCTTGCAATGAGCCAAGATTGCACCACTGCACTCCAGCGTGGGCGACAGAGTGAGACTCCGTCTCAAAAAAATAATAATAATAAAATAAAAAGTTTGTTAGTATTATCAGATACATGTTAGTAGGTATCCCCCATGATCAATGAAGTGTTGGGTTACTCTGAAAAAGTGTCCAATCTTACAGGTGTGACTTCCTCTTGAACCGCAAGTTCTTGAGGGCAGAGATAGAGACTGTTCATCTTTTATTGTTTCCCAAGGTCTGGAACATAAATAGTAGTTCAAGTAGTCCAACGTATGACACACAAATAGTTCTGGGTAAACATTAGCTCAAAGTTTGCTCAAGGCATTGATGCAGATGTTTATAAAATTAAATTGTTCTTTTTACTGTACACTTGAAATGAGAAAATTATTAGAAACCACTGGGTCTCATTTTGACAAGAAAAGTCTGAAGAAATCACTGTTCACTTAGTAGATACAAAGTTGTTTTTCTGGGAAAAACACACCTGGAAAAAAAAAAAAAAACGTGGGTCTGATATGGGAGAATTTTTTTTTTCCATATAAACAGATATACAGGGAAGTGGAACACTACTAGTATCTTAAGGATTCCTGAAAATATTTATGTTGGTAAGTTTGATCAGCAAACATTTCTAAATTTGAAAATGGATAAAGCAAAAAGCACAGTGAAGTCTGGAAAGAAGTCTAATACTAATGTCACACATAAGAATACATATTTAAAATTAATTAACTAAAAGGGATATAGGTAATTTCTCCAGATTCCTAGGAAGAATTAAGACCCTCCTTGATCTCAGTAAAGCAATGAATAGTCATTCTGACATCTAGCTAAAAGCAGACTTATTTCCTTTCGGTCTTTAATCTTTTTGGAACTCAAGGATTTCTGCCACACTTTGATACACCAGGCCATTATAAAATTACACCTCATTTATTGACAATTTCTACTTAAAAGGAAGAATACCTAAAAGTATCTCCATATGCTAGATATAGTAGAAATGGTATGCTTTAATTAGTCTAACAATAAAGTCCTTAAAGATTTGCATTCTTTGTTGCCTATTTTGAAAACTTCCAAAGATAAATTTTTATAAAGATTATTATTATTATTTTTTTTTGGGACGGAGTCTTGCTGTCGCTCAGGCTGGTGTGCAGTGGTGTGATCTGGGCTCACTGCAAGCTCCGCCTCCTGCGTTCACGTCATTCTCCTGCCTCAGCCTCCCGAGTAGCTGGGACTACAGGCGCTGCCACCACGCCCGGCTAATCTTTTTGTATTTTTAGTAAGAGACGGGGTTTCACCGTGTTAGCCAGGATGGTCTCGATCTCCTGACCTCGTGATCTGCCTGCCTCGGCCTCCCAAATCTGGGATTAAGATTATGTTTCTTACTAGTCCTTTCCATGAAATCTAACAGCAAATAGTTTCCAAATGTGGATGTGTACTGAGAGGAAATGAAAAGCGAATAACGAGCTGAGTTAAAACATCTTAAAACAGAATATGGCTTAATACTATCATTTATCATCAGTTGTCCTAGAATAACTTAAATTCTTCTAGCTTATTGTTGTTTTTTCGATAGTTGATTATAGTTGTGAGGCGGGATACACACACATCCACACTACAACAAAGATTTTCTGAGACTGACAGTTAAAAAATACAGTGTTGGCCAAGCACTGTGGCTCATGCCTATAGTCCCAGAACTTTGGGAGGCTGAGGTGGGAGGATCACTTGAGACCAGGAGCTTGACATAGCAAGACTCCATCTCCAAGTTTAAAAACAAAAATAAATTAAAAAAAGATACACTGCTATGTATGACTGTTGATACAAAAAATCTGAATACTAGACATGGCGACTCATATGCTACTTCAAGGGCTTATCAACAAAGTTGCTAGTCGTAACACTATGAATTGTTAATGATACTGTTTTGGCTTTGCTAGCAAGTGTTGTAAAGCTATATATACACACACACACACACCCCTTTTAAAATAAAATGGTGATCCTGGTACTAAATATGATTTTAAATGGATTTAATTTTAATTTTAATGGCTTGAACTAGGTTCAGCTGTCATAGGGATCAAAATTAGCCTCTATCCCAGCTGGGGTCAACCAGGGAGCCACTTTTCTTAACCGACAACCTACTGAACGTCAACAACTGCAGGAGACGGGACTTTACCTTTGTCTCCGGTAAACTAGTTGACACATCCCGTGTTGGCAAGAGGCCTAAGCAGATGACCTTGGTCCTCTAAAATCTGGCCTGCACTCTCGGGGCACCCCTGCAACACCTATAAAGACAGCTCCAGATAAAAAAGGGTTGGGGTGGAAAAGCTAATAACGCCAGGCACCTGCCCCGCCTCGGGGCTGGGGGCTATTCCTGCGGTTTCAGCTGACTTTCGGAGCCATTCGTCTCCCAACACAGTCGGAGGTGTTCCTCGGCTGGGTACACCAAGGGGCTCTGCAACCCTCCTGGGGGGTGCCCAGAGGGCTTCCGGATGTACCAGGTTTATTCTTTCGGGTCACAGACAGCACAAACTAAAAGGACGGATTACCCTTTCTGTCCAGTCGCAAGATGGCGACCGACCCTGGTGGGACTCCGAGGGGCCGCCAGCCACCTCCTCTTCCCAATGGCCCGTGCGCCGGCGGCGACGGCAAGCGGGAGGGAGGCGGAGCCGGTGAGGGAAGGAGGGGCGGAGCGCGGCGCCCTCCCGCGCGTCTTGGCCCCGCCCCACGTCCCCGCGTCCCGGCCTGGAGCCCTCGCCCGGCCGGGCGGCGCGCGCTGCCTGCCGGGATACTCGGCCCGCCCAGCCAGTCCTCCCGTCTTGCGCCGCGGCCGCGAGATCCGTGTTTCTCCCAAGATGGTGGCGCTGGGCTCGGGGTGACTACAGGAGACGACAGGGCCTTTTCCCTTCGCCAGGACCCGACACACCAGGCTTCGCTCGCTCGCGCACCCCGCCGTCGCGTAGCCATCCGCCAGCCCGGGCGCCCGCCATCCGCCGCCTACTTACGCTTCACCTCTGCCGACCTGGCGCGCTCGGCTGCGGGCGGCGGCGCCTTCTTCGGCTCCTCCTCGGAATAGCTCGCGGCCTGTAGCCCCTGGCAGGAGGGCCCCGCAGCCCCCCGGTGTGGACAGGCAGAGGCGGCTGGCGACGAACGCCGGAATTTCGGCGGCTCCGGCGCCCCCTTTCCCGGCCTCGTTTTCCGGATAAGGAAGCGCGGGTCCCGCATGAGCCCCGGCGGTGGCGGCAGCGAAAGGGAACGAGGCGGTGGCGGGCGGAGGCGGCGGGCGAGGGCGACGACGATCAGTGAGGCGGCCGCCGCAGCCCAGGCGCGGGGGCGACGACAGGTCAGTGTTGCCGCGGCCTGCGCCAGGCGGCGCTGGCTCCCCTCCGTCACTCGGCCGGCCTTCGGGGCCCGCGGTGGCGAGGTCGGCGCCCCGCTTCCCCGCCCCCCGCCGCCGAGGCGAGTGTTTGGGGGCGCGTGGTCCGGAGGGGCTGGTGCCAGAAGTAGGCCCCTGGTGGCCGCGGCTGCTGCAGCCTTAACTGTCAGTCCTGGCTGAGCGCCGGCGGGAGGGTTTTGTCGCCCGAGGGGACGCGAGCGGGCCCGGGGCGGGGCTGGACGTGCGAGGCGTCGAGATTTGGGCCTCCTCGGAGAGAGGCTCGTCGAGCCAGCCGGGGCCCCAGACTGGGAAGGGCAGGCCCTTTCCTTCCAAGGGGAGCTCTTTTTCGGCGTTTTCGAGGTTTCTGGCTCTCTTGGGGAAGACATATTTAGCCGTGTGCTTGGTGGGTTGGGGTTTTGGGGGTGGATTGATGGGAAGGGAGGGCGGAGGAAGTGGTATGTCAAGCCCAGGGTTGTGCGCACAGATTACTCATGTGTTGCCGTCCACCAGGATTTCTGAAGTTGAACGTGAGTTACTGGCTTTGCCAGAGACTGCTGTGTTATATGCAGACCTGCATGCAAGCAGTTGGCCTTTTTTTTTTTTTTTTCGCCCTTTTCACTGTAGAAAATGAAAAGGATGCTTTCCTCATCTTAGTGGTGAAGGCTTTTGTTGGTAAAGGTGGAATTGAATGTACCAAATACCTTAGTCCGTGAAATTTTAAAAATAATTTTAATACACTGGTGAAGCTTAGCAACCTTGAAAGAGAATTTAGCGTCTAAATTTTTTTAATGACTTTTTATGGATGTGTTAAATTAGTAACAGTACAAAATCTGTTTGAGATTATTAAGAGGCTAGGGTGCCGTTGAAAATGTAAAGTAATAGCATATGGGGTTTGCAGTGCATAGTTAACCTCAATCATGAAGGAATATGGATATGACGCGTAATTTTGGATCATTTGACTGCCTGCAATATTGAGAGAAGCAGGAAATTATTACAGAGTTTTTTGGGAGACGACTTAAAGTTTAAGAAATACAACTGTCGGAAGTTACCTGTCAGAGACACAAAGGTAGCCAATCAATCTTGTGGAATACATTGGACAAGTGGGGTAAGGTGTTTGTCTCACACTTCTGACCAGTAAGTACTCTTAAGAGGTGATTTGGTAAATCATGTGAAATTTAGAATTTAGGAGAGATAAGAAAGTTTTGTCTTGGTATGTATAGTGGAAATAGCTTTGAAATTAGATCTGTTTTTAAATCTAAGCTAGTTACCACATTTTTAGTGAAATGAATACAATATTAATAATGTGATTGATAAGCCCTAAGGATGACCAGAAACCCTTTTAAGAAACGCTAATAGTCTTGACCAAAAATGAAAGGAAATAGCTTCAAGAAATAATTTGCAATGTTTGTGTATTTATAATATACATAGGAGAAATACAAGAACAGAATATGAAGAGGTAACTCATAATCTTTACAAAATTAGAATGTAAACTATGCAAGTCTTACTGTGTCAATATTTATTAACCTGCATTAGTTTGCTAAGTAGTATGCTCACCATCCTCTGGACATTGCCCCTGTCCCTGAGGAGCTTAACTTTATACAGAGATACAAAATACTGTGTTTTGATTTCCTTTCAGAGGATTTATAAGCTACTTATGTTTTATCTGTCCTAAATTCTGCCCTTGTTTTTTCATGGCTGAAAAAATAACTTCCTAAGAAAGGCACGTACTAGTCAGAGGTGTGGGGAAAAAGTGTTCTCATCCCACTTGTCCAGTCCATTTAACAGTATTTATTGGGTACCTACAGTGTCTTTGACATGTGACATCTAATCAGTTGTATTTCTTAAACTTCATATCATTTCTATTTCAATCACCTCCTTCTCCCCTCCAAAAAAATTTACTGTGTAAACTGTGATAATACACTGTTTCTCTCAGTGTCAGTCAGTGGAATGATCCAGATTTATAGGTCATAGCAAAGTTTTTCATCCCAAGCTCTTAAAATGATGTTTCCAAATGTCCATTTTCTTAAATGACTGCTAATGTTCTCCAGTCGTGTTACACATATTTTGTTTAGACCTATAATTGTATAGATCTAAATGTAGAAACATTACATTATGTACATATGCAGCTGCTGAAAGAAAATTAGTTTTCTCATTTTTAGATCGGGGTGAAGACAAACTTTTAGAAGTGATCTTTCAGTAAAATACTGGATGAAGTCTTAGGTGCTCTTTTTATGCTGGTTCAGGACAAAAGTTTTTTTGACTGGTTTTGAGTTTTCCCCTCACTGCCAAATGTAAGGATAACATGTAGTAACAAGACAAATTGGTATGTATAGTGGTAATGTCTTTGGAATTAGACCCTACTTTTAATTCTGACCTTATTAATCTTGGTAAGCCACAGTTTTGTCACCTGTAAAATGGGTTGGTGAAACTTCCCCAGAGTTGTGAGGCTTAAAGTATGTAAAACGCCTAACACGCAGGCACTCAATAAGTATTACCTTAGAAATCTTCCTATCCAGTTTTTCTGAATGGTCTGGAAGCACTTTGTATCTAATGGACTATAGCATGTTATCCTTTATATTGTTTATTTCTTTTCTCATTCACTATGAACTCTTTAAGGCCGGGAATTCCTAGTGTTTACCAGAGAATGTGTTACTAGATGTCTTAGTCTGTTCTGGCTACTATTACAAAACACCACAGACAGGGTGGCTTATAAACAACGGAAGTTTATTTCTCACGGTTTTGGGGGCTGAGAAGTCCAAGATCAAGGTACTGACAAATTTGACATCTTAGTGAGGGCCCTCTTCCCTTGTTCATAGACAGCTAGCTGTCTTTTCACTATAACTTCATGTAGTAGAAGAGTAGAGGGGGCTTTATAGGGCCTCTTTTATAGAGGCATTAATTCCATTAATGCGGGCAAAGCCTCCCAAAGGCCCCACCTGTTAATACTATCACCTTGGTGGTTAGGCTTTCAACATGAATTTTGGGGGACACATTCAGACCACAGCACTAGAGCAGTCATGAATTAGTTATTGGTAAATCAGTAAATGATCAACTAACATTGATTAGGTTCCTCCTGTGGCTTCTACGAGCTGAGCTAGGTACAGGCGCCACAAAGACAAGAAAGCTGCCTTTTTGAATGCTTATAATTGAGTGACTTTCTCACATTCATGTGTGTGTGTGTGTGTGTGTGTGTGTGTGTGTGTGTAAAAAACCCTATCACATAATGGAACTTCATTCTCCCGTGCCCTTCCAATCTAAGAGCAGTTCTGTGGACTCAATACCTCCTACCCACCAGCTGCTACTCTGAAAATTTACTTTTGTACTCATTTTAAAAAGTTCAGCCCTTTGGCACATGCATTATTACTTCATGCCTTGGTCCCAGCCCACCACCCCAGTATCTGGCATGTAGTATATTAGTTTGTGTGTGTGTGTGTGTATGTATGTATATAGAATTTAAAATTTTTGGCCGGGTGTGGTGGCTCACGCCTGTAATCCCAACACTTTGGGAGGCTGAGGTGGGCGGATCACGAGGTCGGGAGATCGAGACCATTCTAGCTAACACGGTGAAACCCCGTCTCTACTAAAAATGCAAAAATTAGCCAGGTGTGGTGGCGGGCGCCTGTAGTCCCAGCTACTTGGGAGGCTGAGGCAGGAGAATGGCATGAACCCCGGGAGGCGGAGTTTGCAGTGAGCTGAGATGTGGCCACTGCACTCCAGCCTGGGAGACAGAGTGAGACTCTGTCTCAAAAAAATAAAAATTTAAAAAAATAAAAAAATAAAAAAGAATTTAAAATTTTTACTTTGGCGGTTGTTTTCAAATACTCTAATTTTGGGGGGCATGATTATCATTTTGTCTTCTGGCAATACATTGATAGATGCTACCTAAGTAGGATTGTCTGTGAGGTCAGCTGCTCCAGTCATTTTATACATGAGGAAATTGGAGTGCAAAGCTTTAAAATGATTTTCTGAAAGACACCCAGGTGTCAGGATCAGAACTAGAATCCAAGTCTCTAGTTCAGGACTCTGCACACATTGGCACATGTTCTGTCCTACCTTTTGGGATGAATAGTTACACTTGCTTTGTGATTACTCACCCACCTTTTTGGAGATACATGAGTGTTTTATACACTATTAATAGAAGGCAGCCTTCACAAAATGCCATCCACAGATCTGTTATTTCTTCTAATAAAGGAAATGATGTAAAATTACCTTAAATAGAAATAGTGTTAATTCTAGAAACATACTCCATAATCCAAACATGAAATGTTTGAAATACTTAAAGATGCTATAAAAATAAGTCCTTTTTAAAAAGATAATATTAAAAATTTTTGTTTTATAGAGATGAGGGTCTCACTGTGTTGCCCAGGCTGGTCTTGAACTCCTAGGCTTTTACCTCAGCTTCCCAGTGTGTTGGGATTACAGGCATGAGCCACAACACCTGGCCAAGTTCTTTTTTTTTTTAATGAAATGACTTATTAATACACAGCTTCTTTGCCAGCTTTTGTTTTCATTTGCTCTCAAAAATGTTGCTTAGTGCTTTGATGTGAGTTATCTGTAACAGGTAAATGCCGTTATGGATAATAATTCAAAAGGAAGCTTATTAATTATTAGGCCTACCTGAGAGTGAAATAAAGTTAGGAATTTTTTTTTTTTTTTTTTTTTTTTTGAGACGGAGTCTCGCTCTGTAGCCCGGGCTAGAGTGCAGTGGCCGGATCTCAGCTCACTGCAAACTCCACCTCCCGGGTTTACGCCATTCTCCTGCCTCAGCCTCCCGAGTAGCTGGAACTACAGGTGCCCACCACCGCACCCGGCTAGTTTTTTGTAATTTTTTGGTAGAGACGGGGTTTTACTGTGTTAGCCGGGATGATCTCGATCTCCTGACCTTGTGATCCGCCCGTCTCGGCCTCCCAAAGCATTTTCTTTGTGTTTAATTTTATTTATTTGTTTAGAGACAGGGTCTTGCTCTGTTGCCTAAGTTGGAGTGCAGTGGTGCTGTCATAACTCATTGCAGTCTCAGGCCTGAGTGATCCTCCTATCTCACTCTCCTGAGTAGGTGAGATTAGCATATGCCACCATGCCTGGCTAATTTTTTTATTTTTTGTGGAGATGGGGTCTTGCCATGTTCAAGTTGGTTTCAAACTCCTGTACTCAAGCCCCTTGGCCTCCCAAAGTGCTAGGATTACAGGTGTGAGCTACCATGCCCAGCTGAGCATTTAAAAAAAATACTGGTCTTTGTACATGAGTCGTTACTATTTGATTCTAAGCCTTATGAGTGATAATCCCTAAAATTATTTCTAAAATTTAATTTAAGTGTGTCAGAGTCATTGAAATGGAGGAAGGAGGTTGGTCTTGAGGTTGTTTTAACTATAGCTTCCTAATGGTCATGAGCAGGTCATTTAGCTTTTGAAGCGTTTGTTCCTTCTTCTGTCAAATGAAGGTGATAGTTGCTTTGTTTTAAAAGAGTATGCTTTTCAAATGTGATCATTCTTGAAAATGTAGATTAAGAAGCTTTTTAGAGGCCAAGCGCGGTGGCTTACGCCTGTCATCCCAGCACTTTGGGAAGCCGAGGCAGGCGGATCACAAGGTCAGGAGATCGAGACCATCCTGGCCAACATGGTGAAATCCCATCTCTACTAAAATACACACACACAAAAATTAGTGGGTCGTGGTGGCACACGCCTGTAGTCCCAGCTACTCTGGAGGCTGAGGCAGGGGAAACACTTGAACCCGGGAGGCGGAGGTTACAGTGAGCCAAGATCATACCCACTGCCTGGTGACAGAGCGAGACTCCCTCTCAAAAAAAAAAAAAAAAAAAACTTTTTAGAAACTTTGTATTGGGAAATTTTTAGTGTGTGAATTCATTCTAAATATGTGAACTCCATTTGACATGGACAATAGATCTTAATAGTTTGTGGTACATTATTCAGTGTATTAAT